CACATACATGGAGATACTACTGGTTATCATACCCACACAGACATGGAGATACTACTGGTTATCATACCCACACAGACATGGAGATACTACTGGTTATCATACCCACACAGACATGGAGATACTACTGGTTATCATACCCACACAGACATGGAGATACTACTGGTTATCATACCCACACAGGCATGGAATCCCTTACTTGCCCTGAAATAAACCTCTATCTCTTGGAACCACACCATGGCAAAAACCCTCACCACTTGGGTTTTTTCTTTCTTTAGGCGTCATTGTTTGTTTGGCTTAGAGACCCTAGAATTTCATATTCAGGAAATGAATCAAATTAGAATGACAAGCATTTCTTTTAATTCGTGCGCCTTTGAGATGTCTTTTGCAATAAAGCTGATTTAAGAAATTTACATATATACAAAACAGAAATTAAAAGTGAAATGTTGCAGGTATATTTTAGATTTATAATGGTTGCATGGATCCACATCAGAAGAAGATTGTACCAGTTCAACCCGGTTTTGTTCTAGATTGTGATCTTTGGTTCAACAACAGTGTCATACGTCAAATACCAGCAGTACTGGTGGCTTTCATTGAAATGCTAGGATATAACTGAACTGGAATATGCTGTGATATAACTGAACTGGAATATGCTGCGATATAACTGAACTGGAATATGCTGCGATATAACTGAACTAGAATATGCTGCGATATAACTGAACTGGAATATGCTGCGATATAACTGAACTGGAATATGCTGCGATATAACTGAACTGGAATATGCTGTGATATAACTGAAATTTGCTGTCATACAACTGGAATACCCTGTGATATAACTGAAATGTGCTGATATAACTTAAATATGCTGTGATATAACTGGAATATGTTGTCCTATAACTGGAATATGATGTGATGTATCTGAAATAAGCAGTGATGTAACTGGAATATGCTGTGATATAACTGGAATATGCTGTGATATAACTGAAATATGCTGTGATATACCTGAAGTATTATATATATCTGAAACATTCTTGTTAGAAGCTAAACCAAAGTCTGTTCTGGTGAGTTCCAATTCTTTACTCCTGCCCTTGAAGAAACTGCTGCTTGTTGAGGCTCTTGTTTCAATGTGTTAAGCATTTTAGCATTAGGAGATATTTCTGCCAGAAGATAAGGAATCGGCATTTGAAGAAGACAGCTGTGCTGCCTTTGTTGACTGCTGGTCCCAAACCCTGACATTTCAGCTGCCTCAAGTGAATGTTATTTCACATGGCTGGGAGAGGGTGAGGAGCAACAAAGAAATCCAACCTATAATATTTAGAATTAAAACTTGTTAGTATGAACTGCCTGCATGAATGAAAAGGGGTTAAAGAAGACTAGTTTCTGTTTTACCATATCTTGTTTGCACCATTGTCACACTGCGCAGTTTTCCAGGTGTATGATGGATGCTTGTTGTAATGGAATCTAAACCAGACAATCTAGTGATTGCTGCTGTGAGTTGTTTTAGTCAGTGTGTGAAGGGAGTATGACCTCCATGAGGTCAGCCCCAGATACAGTGGCAGCTGTACCGTAGTGTATGTATCATGTCAGTGTGTGAAGGGAGTATGACCTCCATGAGGTCAGCCCCAGATACAGTGGCAGCTGTACCGTAGTGTATGTATCATGTCAGTGTGTGAAGGGATATGACCTCCAGATAGGTCAGCTGTACCCAGATACAGTGGCAGTGTGTATGTATCATGTCAGGAGAAGGGAGTATGACCTCCATGAGGTGGAGAGTCAGCCCCAGATACAGTGGCAGCTGTACCGTGGTGTATGTATCATGTCAGTGTGTGAAGGGAGTATGACCTCCATGAGGTCAGCCCCAGATACAGTGTCAACTGTACCGTGGTGTATGTATCATGTCAGTGTGTGAAGGGAGTGTGACCTCCATGAGGTCAGCCCCAAATACAGTGGCAGCTGTACCGTGGTGTATGTATCATGTCAGCCCTGATACAGTGGCAGCTGTACCGTGGTGTATGTATCATGTCAGTGTATCCTTGTGTTGGTTATTCAGCTCGAGGCAAGCCTGAATTATACCCTCTGATTTTCCATGTGTACCTCAAGGACGATGAATAGCATGGGACTCATAAGTTTGTGCACAGAGACATAAATGTATGTTTTATGGTGTGACAATACGTTGCATTAAAGTGATGTTGAAACATCTGCTTTTTATCCCACCAGCATGTAATGCGGTGGGATATAGTTGTCGCCTCGTCCGTCAGTCCCTCCGTCCGTAATCATTTTGTTTCCGGAGCATAACTAAAAGACAGTTCGATATTTTTCAACAAAAATTGGTATATATGTCAAACATCACCTGAGGTGGTGCCTTTTACTATTTGCAGATTTTGGGCATTTTTATTTTTCCCGGTTTACATGGAAACGATTCGGACTTAGTCTCAAAAGGGAGGGGTGGGCTTCGTTTCCGGAGCACAACCCAAAAACTTCTTAATATCTTTCAGTAAAACTTGGCAGATATATGAGGCAGATCTTGAAGTGGTGCCTTTTGCTATTTCCAGATTTTTGTCATTTATTTTTTTCATGATTTCCATGGAAACGATTTGCACTTAGTCTAAAATCAAGCTGGACTTGAAGTAACTGTCAGATGATTTGTTCTTTCAAAGATGTGGGGGCCGGGGGGATATGTCATCTTCTGATGACTCTTGTTTTACTTCATCTTCACAAGCAAATGAGACATTGGTCAGGTCAGTTGCTTGCTGTGACTGCTCCAACTCACCAACATAAATATACTATGTTCTGAGAGACTGATTTCCGCAAGGTCAGGGTCAAAGTTCATGTTGTTGGAGTCTTTCAACAGCCTTCTGTCATTTAGTGCCATAAAACAAGATTCACTCATCCAGTCTGTGTAGGTAACTATGGTCACCAACATGGCTGCTTGAGGCTGCTGCTGTCCATGATTGCTGTATGTGAGCACAATGGCAGCAGCAAGGCTTCTGTTGATGTAAATCATTAATTATAAAGACTAGTGACAACAGTAATTAAAGATAAATATACAGCATAGAGCTGCACCAATATGACCGTGAGACTACGGCTGCACAGCAATTGATATATTTAGTGAAACCATGACAGAATATTTTGACATATTTTTATTATGTTGACAGTGTTGATTTATCAAGACACTGATCATAATAACAGACAATTACCAGTGACCAAATTACTGTCAAACTAAGTATATAAAATTGTTGGATATTATCCTGTCTGGCTAGGATGTATTCCTTTTGTCCATATCTCGTTTAAATTTTTGTTAAAAAAATAATTAGATACCCATTGAAATGAATAACCATGGCAGCTAGGACTCGGTTGACATAAATCGTTAGTTACAAATACAAATTACAACAGTAATTAAAGATAAATATGTACTATAGATCCGCACCAAACTGACCTGGATACTTCAACTGGGTTTGAAAGGTTACCCTTTCAAACCCAGTTGAAGTATCCACGATATCACAAAGGGACCAAGGACTTCAATAGTATTTCATATGTGGTAGCAAAGTTATTTGATGATTATGACCTAAACCCTGATAATGATAGAAATAGGTTATGTAGATAACCACGTTGCCATGGTTACCCAGCCTCTTGATAAATCCAGCAAGTGCTGTGTCTTTGAATGTGTGTGTTAAGAGCCAGCATGATTGTTGACCTTTCACCTTGACCTGTGGTAGACCCCAACTGGGGGTTATATCAAATTCTCCCTGGTATTTATCTCATGTGAAGGGACAGTGATGACCATGGTGGTCTCCTTCACTGGTAAGATGGCTTCCACTAGTACACACTGTGATAGGGGAAATGTAACCATCTCTCTAGTCTGTCTCACAGTCCCTCAACCACATTATTTTCCCTGCTGACAGGCCCTCCCTGCAGTTCTAAAGCCTTAAATGAAGCAAGTCTAGATTTCCCCAGGTTCAGGAATCTCCCAACTCACTTGGGCTCCTGTTCAATTTGAATGGGTTTATTTGTTACTATCAATATTATATATATTCAGGGACTAAGCGTTAGTCTACCAGCTCTCCAGTCTCACGGCTTTTGAAGTGAGAGGATCCTGTTGCTGTCTTAAAGAAATAACATTGTTAATAGACACACTTGAACAATATCCCAGCTTTAGGATGACCCTATTCAGCTGGTGGCAAACAATTTATTTCTGTAGTTTTATGTGATCTTTTACAGCCTGTTATTGTGTCTATACTTCTTGTCAGAGGGTGCAGTGTCTTCTTGTCTTGCTCCACTGAAGCATCCTTGCTTCTCTTGCTGCAGTAAAAGTGCATCAAACTGAACGAGTACTTTTAGAGGTGATGTGAGGTGAAATTGGGTTTAACGTGGTACTTGAGAATATTTCGGTCATATGACGACGTGCATGCGTGTGTATGTGTATGTGGCTGCTTGTACTAGCCCAGACTTAAGCTTGTTTTATAGTGCTAGCCCACTGAGATACCATGCCGCAGTGAAGCATGAATACCCCACTCAGACACATTATACTGACTCCGAGCCGACCAGTCCTTGTACCCATTAATGCCGAGCGCCAGGCAGGGACCAACAAGTACCACATTTTAACGTCTTTTGGTATGACGCGGTCGGGGATCGAACCCGCGACCTTCCGCTCTCCGGGCGGACGCTCTAACCACTACACCACGGAGGCAGTCTGGTACTTTTAGATGATAAACCTGAGCGTATTAATCTTTCATCAACTTGTGTTGATATATGTAATATCAAAATACATTTGGGTGACATTTTCTTCGTATCAGGGTCACGATATGGCTGAAATATTGCCCATGTATTGCTAAATATTAATTCACTCACTTTATATCAATACCTGTATGAATGATGTGAGTTGTTTTTTCAAAAATGTTATGGACATTAAGTACCTTGATTCCTATTTTGATCCTGCATAGATACCAGTGCTTGAATAGTGGAATATTATTTCCATGCCATAATCCTTGTCTCTCCACCTGCAGTTCCCACGGTGGAGACAAACGGCATCGTGGACACGGCTTCAGAGAACAGCTCCTCTGGGTCGAGCACTCCTACCGACACTAAGGATGGAGAGAAGACAGAAGAAAATGAGACGGAAAAGACAAATGGAGAAGTTAAGGAAGGAGAGACAAAGGAAGGAGATGCTAAAAATGATCAAGAAATCGTTTTGATTCAGGATACTGGATTCACTGTGAGCATCACAGGGCCAGGCATCGAAACGTTCGAGTTGCCGGTAGGTACTGTCTACTGTTGTTTAGCTAGGTTTATTCAGGCCAGTTACTTATCAGTTACTTGTGCGACATCTGGTGGTCAGGCTCGCTGACTTGGTTGACACATATCATCGGTGCCCAATTACACAGATTGATGCTCATGCTGCTGATCACTGGATTGTCTGGTTCAGGCTTGATTATTTACAGACCGCCACCATATAACTGGAATATTGCTGAGTGCGGCGTCAAACTAAACTCACTCACTCACTCACTCACTCACTCACTCACTCACTCACTCACTCACTCTCCCAGTTACTTGTGATCATTAGTTGGAATCTTGGTTTCACGCCGAGGATGTTCCTGGGTTTGTTAGCACCAAACCCTGTGCTGTGGTTTCTGGGTTTGTGAGCACCAAACCCCGTGCTGTGGTTTCTGGGTTTGTGAGCACCAAACCCTGTGCTGTGGTTTCTGGGTTTGTAAGCACCAAACCCTGTGCTGTGGTTTCTGGGTTTGTTAGCACCAAACCCCGTGCTGTGGTTTCTGGGTTTGTGACCACCAAACCCTGTGCTGTGGTTTCTGGGTTTGTAAGCACCAAACCCTGTGCTGTGGTTTCTGGGTTTGTGAGCACCAAACCCTGTGCTGTGGTTTCTGGGTTTGTAAGCACCAAACCCCGTGCTGTGGTTTCTGGGTTTGTAAGCACCAAACCCTGTGCTGTGGTTTCTGGGTTTGTGAGCACCAAACCCTGTGCTGTGGTTTCTGGGTTTGTGAGCACCAAACCCTGTGCTGTGGTCTCTGGGTTTGTAAGCACCAAACCCTGTGCTGTGGTATCTGGGTTTGTTAGCACCAAACCCTGTGCTGTGGTTTCTGGGTTTGTGAGCACCAAACCCTGTGCTGTGGTTAGTGGGTTTGTAAGCACCAAACCCTGTGCTGTGGTTTCTGGGTTTGTGAGCACCAAACCCTGTGCTGTGGTTTCTGGGTTTGTGAGCACCAAACCCTGTGCTGTGGTATCTGGGTTTGTTAGCACCAAACCCTGTGCTGTGGTTTCTGGGTTTGTGAGCACCAAACCCTGTGCTGTGGTTTCTGGGTTTGTGAGCACCAAACCCTGTGCTGTGGTTTCTGGGTTTGTGAGCACCAAACCCTGTGCTGTGGTTACTGGGTTTGTGAGCACCAAACCCTGTGCTGTGGTTTCTGGGTTTGTAAGCACCAAACCCTGTGCTGTGGTTACTGGGTTTGTAAGCACCAAACCCTGTGCTGTGGTTTCTGGGTTTGTGAGCACCAAACCCTGTGCTGTGGTTAGTGGGTTTGTGAGCACCAAACCCTGTGCTGTGGTTTCTGGGTTTGTAAGCACCAAACCCCGTGCTGTGGTTACTGGGTTTGTGAGCACCAAACCCTGTGCTGTGGTTACACGGTTTGTTAGCACCAAACCCTGTGCTGTGGTTTCTGGGTTTGCGAGCACCAAACCCTGTGCTGTGGTTACTGGGTTTGTTAGCACCAAACCCTGTGCTGTGGTTAGTGGGTTTGTGAGCACCAAACCCTGTGCTGTGGTTAGTGGTTTTGTGAGCACCAAACCCTGTGCTGTGGTATCTGGGTTTGTAAGCACCAAACCCTGTGCTGTGGTTTCTGGGTTTGTAAGCACCAAACCCTGTGCTGTGGTTTCTGGGTTTGTGAGCACCACACCCTGTGCTGTGGTTACTGGGTTTCCAGCGATTCCATGGCATTTGATTTGATGACCAAGAATGTTTTGCATGTGTGTATCCGTAAACCTAAAATAATTTGGCCACTGCTCACAAGAGGACAACTTCAATAGACTAGAATTCGTATCGCCCTGAAATTTCGTGCAATCATTATATAGTTACTATAGTTATAAGCTATTATAATATTGTCAACATTTATCCTGATGTGTTTTTTGTTCTTTCTATTTTTTAAATGGATTTTGGTAGTGAGATTTGGAGTGTGAAAATGCTGTCTTTCACATCTTAAAACTAAAATATGCAAAACAGGTTGTAACTGTCATGCAGATATTATAAAATCACTAATATTTTCAAAAGCTATTTCATTTTTAACTTGTTTTTTTATGTTTTATTAATTTGTAATTTTATACAGAACTTATTACATGACGTTTGTTTTTCTGATGACCCTGAATGCCCGATCGCATCAACACAGCGTTATTTGCAGCAGCTGTGTGAGCTTTACAATATTTGCTTCAGAAGGGCACAAAAAAATGATAAACAAGAACTGACAAATACCGTATTGTGTTACCCTGTATAATAAGTCACAAAGTGCCCCCTATTATAAATATGTTGCAGACAGTTCCAATATACAGTCAAATCCTGATGAGTTGAATGCCGGTGTCTCGAATATTATGCATAACTCGAAGTACATGTCAGTCCTGACCATTCCCTGTTATAGTTGTCATTATTTGATTTCCGGTTACACAAATTCGTCTCATAAATACTCACGATGACTCGAGAAGGAAATTTGGTCCCCTGAGATTCAAACAACAGCAATCTTGTATACATAAGCCGAAGTCAGTCAATGAGAAGTTGATTGGTGTAGCAAACTGATCCAATTAACAAACCAGCTCGGCTCACACCTTTCCGCCATTGACGGGTGAGTTCAAAAGGCAGATTAGTGATTTTACGGAAACGGAAGAATTAGCACATGGCATTGAGTAAACTCAATTAAATCAGAACTCTTGAGTTCAGAGGTGAATTGTTCAATATTCGATCATCTTTTTTTTCTACCCTCATAGACATACCTATGTCTCGAATACATCGATAAGTCGAATTTATTACTTGGTCCCCAGTGATTCAACTCATCGGGATTTGACTGTATCTAATATCAATAACTTTAAACATATTTGATACAATGATTGGAAAAGTTACATTGGAAATTTTTGGGTTATTGCCAGCAATGATATATTGCAGTATTGCTGTGTTATTTTAGTTCGATGTTGAATAAAGATACTTAAAGTATCACTTATAGTTATATGCCCAGCACTTTTGTCACTGTAACTTTTGCAGGTCACTGTGATTGCCTGTATTTTACTTATGGCAATATTTGAAAGTCACTGTCAGGGTTCCCGGGCTTGCCAGGGTGAAACTTTGAAGTCAAGCTGCAAGAAATATGACTTAAAACGGGTCAAAGTACGGCATTTATGATAAATACATCCATTCTCTGTCAACTAAAGTTTGTTTCAAGACATCAATAGCGGTAACTTCAGCATGGTAGGTGTAAATTATGGTGACTCAGTGCACTGCCGTCAACCTCACACTCAATTCTATGTGAGCAATATTGAATGAAAGCTTTAATAAAATTAAAATTCAATTAAAACAAAATTAAAATAAACGATAAACAAAATAAGTCCAATATAAAATGAACACATTTTATAACCAGACAGTGAAATTTGCATGATTAATAAGCGGATTTGTTGGCATGGTATCTCCGACGTTCAGTGCACACGGAAATGACTGAAAATCAGCTGAAATCCGAAATGAATGCTTGGCGACAAGTAAACAGTATTGTCTTGTTCCAGGACTAGCTGCAAATTCAGAGAACAAAGGTTGACATCAATCCACTAAACTAGTCTTTACAAGCTCAGAGAACAAAGGTTGACGTCAATCCACTAAACTAGTCTTTACAATAAGAACATTTCTTAGGCTTGCCACCATGTTGGTGCGGCGCTGATAAATACTGTTTAACTCTCACTTAGTCTCTTGGAAAGCCATCCGATAGAACCCGAGTTAATTTGATCTGTGTAGATGCAGCAGCTTGTGTGTCAATTGACTTGATACTTTAGCATCTCATTGAGAACTTAATGAACAGCTGCCGTAGTGCTCATCTGAGCATAAATATTTCAGCAAATTCACTTGATATTATTCCAGTTGTCGTTTGTTGGGAAAATGTTGTGTGCTGAACGTTATCATGTGCCTGACTAGTCCCCATTCTGTTGTCTGGAGCTGACTAGTCCCCATTCTGTTGTCTGGAGCTGACTAGTCCCCATTCTGTTGTCTGGAGCTGACTAGTCCCCATTCTGTTGTCTAGAGCTGACTAGTCCCCATTCTGTTGTCTAGAGCTGACTAGTCCCCATTCTGTTGTCTGGAGCTGACTAGTCCCCATTCTGTTGTCTAGAGCTGACTAGTCCCCATCCTGTTGTCCAGAGCTGACTAGTCCCCATCCTGTTGTCCAGAGCTGACTAGTCCCCATTCTTTTGTCTAGAGCTGACTAGTCCCCATTCTGTTGTCTGGAGCTGACTAGTCCCCATTCTGTTGTCTGGAGCTGACTAGTCCCCATTCTGTTGTCTAGAGCTGACTAGTCCCCATTCTGTTGTCTAGAGCTGACTAGTCCCCATTCTGTTGTCTGGAGCTGACTAGTCCCCATTCTGTTGTCTAGAGCTGACTAGTCCCCATCCTGTTGTCCAGAGCTGACTAGTCCCCATCCTGTTGTCTAGAGCTGACTAGTCCCCATTCTGTTGTCTAGAGCTGACTAGTCCCCATTCTGTTGTCTGGAGCTGACTAGTCCCCATTCTGTTGTCTAGAGCTGACTAGTCCCCATTCTGTTGTCTCTGGAGCCGACTAGTCCCCATTCTGTTGTCTGGAGCTGACTAGTCCCCATTCTGTTGTCTAGAGCTGACTAGTCCCCATTCTGTTGTCTCTATAGCATATGTTATATTTGGGATTACACTTTCAGATTCTGGTACTTTTGTTGGGTTGAGTCCCATCCGGGATTCGAACCCTCAGAGTCAGGCACCTAATCGCCAGCACACAGTCAGACTCCTAGACTGCTCAGCCACCGCGGCTTCAACATTGCCTGACTCTGAGGGTGTGGGTTCGAATCCCTGATGGGACTCAACCCAACAAAAGTACTAGAATATTGTGCTTACAGCGTTCGCTTGTGACTCTGAATACTTGGGTTCGATTCCCCATATGGGTACAATGTATGAAGCCCATTTCTGGTGTCCCCGCTGTGATATTGCTGGAATATTGCTAACACCATACACACTCACTAACTCACTGTACAGTACAACCCGAAATTATTGAGAATTTAAAGATTGTAATTATTTATTTATTTTGACTCATTACTCACGTATTAAATGTGAATATTAGCAGAACATTACTCCAGATTCCAAGACAGGTGAACAGTTAGTATTTTGTCAAGTCACCATGGGCAGCAATGCAGGCTTCAATGCGGCGGGGCATACTACTGATCAAAGAAGTTAGAAAGTCATGGCCCATGCTGTCGCAATATTGGACCACCTCTTCTTTCATTTCAGCAATATTTGTCAGATTTTTCTTTTTGACACTTTCCTTCATAAGTCCCAAAACATTTCTGTTGGATTTAGGTCAGGGCTATAGCTTGGCCAATCTAATAATGTCATATTTTGGGTCCGAAACCAGGCCTGTGAATTCTTTGAACGATGTTTTGGGTCGTCGTCCTGCTGGAAAATCCAAAAATTTCCATAGAACACTTGAGCAGATGGAAGTAAATGTCCCTCGAGAATATCTGTGTACCGCTCACTGTTCAGATTCCTTCAAATACACAGAGGGCCGTTGCCCCTAACACAGATATGCCACCCCACATGTTATATTTCGGACTGTACTTTGGGCGCTGATACAAAGGTTTTTCAGTTTGTTTGGTCCAGAATTTCAGTGTATTAGGAAACAGCCACACAGAAATTTCATCTGAGAAAATCACATTGTCCCAGTTAACATTTCTATGCTGTAAGCACCAGTTCAACCATTGCTCCCTTTGTTCAGGTTTCATGATCGGTAATGGAATTCGACTTTTCTGCCAACCCATTGCATGCAGCTCAGTTCTAAGTGTCTCCTTACAGACAGCCACAGTTCTTATATCAATCATATCCAGCCTTAGGTTTTCTAAACAAGAAACAAGAATACCAAGCTGCCTCCTGTCACCAACAGTCAATTTTCTGGGCCTACCTGCACCTCCCTGGTGCTCAATGCCATCTCCATTTGCAATATTTTTCAAAACACGATAGACAGTGGACAAAGGGATGCCTGTTCTACTTGAAATCACTTTGGCTGATGTGATGTCCTTGTTATAATACTCTAAATTCAACTTCCTCTTCTCTAAATCATCCATACTGAGGATCACTGAAAATGTCGTCTGCTAGCAAGTAAACAAACAAAGGGGGATAACTCTTCACAAGCTAATAAAAATGATTTTAACAGAGTTGTCTCTCTTGAATGAAACCAAGCACTTGATAGCTGGTCAAGGTTGTTTATACTAGAAATCCAATTAAACATATTCCTAAAATTCTCAATAATTTCTGGTCATACTATACAAGGTGTCGTCCATTCTATGTACACACACTGTACTTACAATGAAAGGTTATACATCATCTTTTCATCTGCTGAATGCGAGGTGACACAACTGACACCTGTGTGGCTGGGCTTGAATATATTTTCTATTCTCAGGCAACATCTGTGACAGTGTAATGAAATATTATACGTTTTTAATGTGACATGGATCAGAGCTTCATTGCATCTGAATATGTGTAACATTCATTGTTTGACGGGAAAGGGTGTAAGTTCAGAGCTTAATATTATTGCATCCTTTATTATCTGATCTTTTATGATTATCAATCCCAACATGGTTATCATTCCCTGATAGGGTGGCAGGGTGGCAGGGTAGCAGGGTAGCCTAGTTGTTAAAGCATTCACTCGTCACGCCAAAGGCTCGGGTTCGATTTCCCACATGGGTACAATGTGTGAAGCCCATTTCTGGCGTCCCCGCCATGATATTGCTGGAATATTGCTGAAAGCGGCCTAAAACCCAACTGCTCACTTTTTCCCTGATGATTAGGAGGAGTGTCATAATTCTTTCTGTCAGGGGTGGAAATAACTTTAAAATTGTTAGTGTTCTCCGGTGGCACATGTGAAATCACTTGCCCTGATAATTTTCCCACTATACCGGCCGTTTTCTTGTTGAATTTTTTAAATAAACAGCATAATTATCATGGGAAAAGTCAACTGGACACCGGTACAGTGTGATATACAAATTTGCTTGCCCGACAGAAAAAACCTACTGGACTGGGGCATCGGGCAATGGGTTATTTCAACCCCTGTTCTGTATGCTATTAATTTTAAAAATTGCACTGAAAATAATAGTTTCTATCGCTGTATTGATCTGTCCATCTTGATTTAATCAGTCCCTTACAATAAGTACACTGAACCCATTACTTGGCTGGGAAGTATCCATCTGTTCAATGAGAACCTTCTTACACAATGACTGGCACGTGTATTTGGAGCAGACGTCAACTTTGACGTAATTGTATTTGAGGCAATGAGCTCAAATTCTTGGTGTCCGCCGTGAAGCTGAGCGAGGGGGGACAATATAGGCTGTTCATGATGAAAGCCTAGGTTCCATGGCATTCATTGGTACATTGTATCAATCACTTTCCACATGTTCTGACAAAATATGATACTTTTTGTCAAAATCTTTAAGATCCCCGTAAGATGTTAAGTGCCATGACTGTCTGTTTATGTTAAGTTTGGGAGGTATGATCATCTCAGCGCTTCGATAGCTTTGTGCATGGAATTTGTTCCTTGTGTGTTGTACAATTGTATGATTGTATAATTGTACTAATGCCCGCCTCCTTCCTACACCAGGTGAGTTCGATGGAGCTGGTGCAGGAGATCCACCAGGTGTTGATGGACCGCGAGGACACATGCCACCGGACCTGTTTCTCCATACAGCTGGACGGACTCACTCTAGACAACTTCGCTGAACTCAAGAGTATCGAAGGCCTTAAAGAAGGTTCACAGATTAAAGTTATTGAAGGTATGTCGCATAGTAACATTACAGGAAATAGTGTCTTCATCTAGTTTACTTCAGAAATTAAAGTAACAGGTTATTTTTACTGTCACCAAGTTTGTGTTGCACCGTGTCAACACAAAAAATGTTGCCATATGCTTGAATTCTACAAGACAATCATCGTGTGAGAAAACATTGTGACACCAACATGTTTTTGTTATAGATTTAGTAATCATGTGTGCTGTGATGATGTACTTCATTCAGGGTTGTGTTATAGACGGGGTATATAAATTAGCATTGATTTTGAAGGCTTGTAAAGGGGGGTCATTCAGGGTTGTGTTATAGACGGGGTATATAAATTAGCATTGATTTTGAAGGCTTGTAAAGGGGGGATATCTTATACATGGGGTTGTACTATATGCCGCGATATACAGTCCCGTGATATAAATAAATTCATGATTAGTAACTTGGCCATTGATTGTAACTATGGCAACTGATCATGGAATGGAAGCTTTAGAGATAAACCAGTTTCTTGGACAAACCTGATAAATGTGATTTAGATTTCTCGTAAATTTTTAATATTTTTTTCTTTTGTAACTGATTCTTGTGATGAAATCAATCTCTGTAGGTATAAATGTTTGTAAAGGAAGCTGGATCTATGTTGAACAAATTTTGCAGACAAACACATGAACCAAATAAGAGTTTTATTACAAAGAGAAGTATTTGTGCACAAGAACTGCAGGGGTCAGCGACCAGCACCTGATCCGCTGTGCTAATCCTGATCATCATGTCTCCCCAGAGCCGTACACCGTGCGGGAAGCCAGGATCCATGTGCGTCATGTTCGGGATCTGCTCAAGTCTGTCGACCCGGGGGATGCCTACAACGGCTTTGACTGCAACTCTCTGTCCTTCCTCAACATCGTCACAGCTGGAGACATCCTTGGTGAGTCATTCTGGCAACTGTTGGAAGAAAGAATTTATCTCAATGTTGTTGCTGAGAAATATAGAAATTTGTGACTTGTCACTTTGTTACTGAAGATCGAATGAGAACAGCTAACCTTGACATGCATGCTGGTCCACCAGCCAGAGACAACTAAATTGTACCATGGACAAGTGAGAGGGACATCTGTTGGCCAACCATCATTTCATAACTACTGTAGTTGCAGCTAGCATGGAACCTCTGTATTGTGTGAAGGCTGATGAAACAGTATTTATCTACACCTTCCAACAATTCAGGTCATTGTATATACTATTGTCGTCCACTTTAACTATGAACGTCACTGTCTGTTGATAACTGTATTATTGCTTGGCCGTAGAGTAGATACTGCTGTCAGTATGACTAGTCTTGTGTGAACCAGTGATGAAAGGCTCTTTGTTGGAGTGTCAGCTGTGTAGGGGAGATTTATATCACCAGTTTTGGTGAAATAATAGTTGTATGGAGAATTTCTGTTTTCCAAATGAAGGGTAACATCTGTTCACATGACGATATCTGAACCAGTTCGGGGCTGCATTGTTTCCAGGGAGTCATTAATTCCAGAAACAGTACCCAGAATGTCGGCCATAATGAAGCAGTAACAACATCCATGTGCTGTCAGTTGTTGCCTTCAACATTGTTGTCTTAGATGGATATTGCCTCAGGCACTGTTGTCTTGGATGGGTTGTTAACTCTGATATTGCCTTGGACACTGTTGTCTTGGATGGGTTGTTAACTCTAATATTGCCATGGACACTGTTGTCTTTGATGGGTTGTTAACTCTAATATTGCCATGGGCACTGTTGTCTTGAATGGGTCGTTAACTCTAATATTGCCATGTTGTCTTTGATGGGTTGTTAACTCTAATATTGCCATGGACACTGTTGTCTTTGATGGGTGGTTAACTCTGATATTGCCATGGGCACTGTTGTCTTTGATGGGTTGTTAACTTTAATATTGCCATGGACACTGTTGTCTTTGATGGGTTGTTAACTCTAATATTGCCATGGACACTGTTGTCTTGAATGGGTTGTTAACTCTGATATTGCCATGGACACTGTTGTCTTTGATGGGTTGTTAACTCTGATATTGCCACGGACACTGTATGAATTGATCATTGTGATGCCAATCACAGGGTTGCCTGTACCATACTCGATTATTTGCTTGTGTCTATTTCACAGCTTAAATACTGGTATTAAATAACAAACTAGTCCAACAATGTTTAATGTTAGATGTAACTGGGCAACATGCTGCTACTCAGAGACTGTTGATCAACATGGACTTGTTGTGTTGCAGAAAAGAAGCGCCAGCCACCCACGTCCCTGGACTGCACCCCTCCAGACTACATCATGCCCAACAGCAAGGATCGGCCCCTGGTTCCGCTGCACCCTGGGATCAAGGAGCAGAGGGTAGGGCCACTCGTCAGTTGATAGCTGGTGGAATTGTCTCCCCTGATGGCTATGTCTATTATTTATATCTTATGATGGCATTGTGTGTGAATTATCTCCCCTTAAGGCCAACTGTTTTCCCCTTCCCCTTCTTCAACTTTTGAGAGTTATACACAGGTACAATGGGTGAAGCCCATTTCTGGTGTCCCCCACCGTTCTATTGCTGGAATATTGCTAAATGCAGCATAAAACCAAACTCACTCACCTTCCTTGAGGGCTAACTGTATGAATTATCTCCCCTGACTCAGTTTCCCCTTCTCTCTCCGAATGCCATCCCTTCTCCCATCACTGTACGTTGTGCTCCATGATGGTCTGCAGCATCTGTTCCTTGTATTGTTCTCTGTCTTGTCCCCTGTCCCCCAAACCTTCCCGGCTTGCTGTGAGAGTTGCCCCCCTTATTCTACCCCAACGCACGGTGACAGGTGTCCCCCCTTACTCTCCCCAAACACACTGTGAGAGTTGTCCCCCTTTCTCTCACCCAACACACTGAGAGTTGTCCCCCTTACTCTCCCCCAACACACTGTGAGAGTTGTCCCCCTTCCTCTCCCCCAACACACTGTGAGAGTTGTCCCCTTACTCTCCCCAACACACTGTGAGAGTTGTCCCCTTCCTCTCCCCCAACACACTGAGAGTTGTCCCCTTCCTCTCCCCCAACACACTGTGAGGAGTTGTCCCCTTACTCTCCCCCAACACACTGTGAGTTGTCCCCTTACTCTCCCCAACACACTGTGAGTGTTGTCCCCTTCCTCTCCCCCAACACACTGTGAGTGTTGTCCCCTTACTCTCCCCAACACACAGTGAGAGTTGTCCCCTTACTCTCCCCAGCACACTGTGAGTGTTGTCCCCTTCCTCTCCCCAACACACTGTGAGTGTTGTCCCCTTCCTCTCCCCAACACACTGTGAGTGTTGTCCCCTTACTCTCCCCAACACACTGTGAGTGTTGTCCCCTTACTCTCCCTCAACACACTGTGAGAGTTGTCCCCTTGCTCCCCCAACGCACTGTGAGTGTTGTCCCCTTACTCTCCCCAACGCACTGTGAGTGTTGCCCCACTCCCCTTCCCTCAACCTGTTGTATGAGTTTTCCCCCCCACCTCCCCTCTTGTGTGAACTGCCCCTTCTCATGGCCTGCTGTATGTTCCAGGGTCCACAGTGCATCAAAGTGCTCACCTACAGCGGCTGGAACCCCCCACCGGGTAATAGACGGATGCATGGTGAGTGCAGTACATCTTCAGTAAGTTCCCATGAAAAACACCCATGTAAATGTGTCATGCTGTACTTGCTACCTAAACAATTATTGGAGCATGTGTGACCTAGCCTGGAAACTATTGGGAAACATGTTCGAGACCCATCACAATGGTAGAGACCCATCACGCACGGCACGAGACCCATCACGCACGGCACGAGACCCATCACATCAGACCCATCACGCATCGTAGAGACCCATCACACACGCGCGGACCCGCGGCACGAGACCCATCACGCCCGGCGAGACCCATCACGCACCGCACGAGACCCATCACACACGGCACGAGACCCATCACACACTGCATGCCAGCACTTGCTACACTAGTACATACATACTTCACACCACCTCACGTTCAGGACAATACTATCAAATGTATTCGCTATGTTATTTATGTTATGAATGAATGGTTAGTAACTCGCTGAGTGTCTGTTGAACAGGCGACCTTCTCTACCTGTATGTGGTTACCTTGGAGGAGAAGAAATACCACGTCACAGCCTCCACACGGGGCTTCTTCCTCAACCAGTGAGTACCCCTGGTCATGTGACTCTGTGTCCTTGTCATGTGACTCTGTGTCCTCGTCATGTGACTGTCCTTACTATTCCACCTTCTGACCCCCAATGTACTGTTTCCCCCAACTGTTCTAGTAAGACTTTAAGGGGACTTATACCACTAGGGTATGTTATGTCCATTGTTCTGGCAGGTTGATTTTCTGTGTATCAACCTTCTATCTGCACGTGCAGAGGTTGATATGTGGATAACAACCTTGGCGGTGCAGGAAACGCACGTGCAACAAGCAATGTACGAGTCCATTCGGCGCCCACGTGGTATAAGTAGGTTAGCACCCCCTTCTGCGAGTGATATGGATTCAACGCTCTCGCCTGACGGCTCGAGCGTTGAAATCCATATCACCCTTGAGGAGGGTGCTAACGTATACTTAAGCCATTGCAGCCTCCCAGGCTGACACAGGAGAGATGTCTGACACTTTGATATTCTTGCAGATCTACCGAGGATGACTTCAACCCTAAAGCTGCCCAGCCAAAATACCTCTCCCACTCTCTCATAGATCTTCTGAACCAGGTGAGCAATCTTCCACTCTCTCATAGCTCTTCTGAACAAGGTGAGCTATCTTTCAACATCTCCGATCTCCTAAAGCAGTTGATCTATATTACACTCTCTCTCACAAATCATTTTGACTGGGTGAAGTATTTCACTTGGTCACAGATCTTCCGAACCAGATCAGCAGAACCAACCCAGCACTATCTCTGGTGCCTTCCGATAAGTAGCATATTGTCATCGCTGTCAGTAATTAATCTATAAATGTGAGCAGGAAAATAAGAAATAATAATAAATAAACGAGATTTTGAATTTGATATTTTAGGAACATGAAAATGAACGTGTACAGTTTTCTGTGTTTATTTATCAGTTTCCCATTAGTAACGAGGAGTTCTCTGATCTCAGATTAGTCCTGGCTTCAAGAAGAACTTCTCCATGCTGCTGAAGAAGAGGGCTCAGAAACACCCATTTGAGCGTGTTCCAACTCCGTACCAAGTGTACAGCTGGATGGCGCCCCAGCCTCTTCACCACATAGACTACATCCGCGCCGAGGACGGTGAGAAGCAGCCACATGGTGTCCGTGCTGGACCACAGTGACTTTCATTTCTGTTTCCCATCATAATTCATTGACAAAATTTACATTCTCCATAGCTGTCAAACCTAATTTTGAGATCAGAACCATAACATGTATTTTTAGAGCCTTAGTATTAAGAAAATAAGATCTGCTTGTGCAGTCAGTGTCACTCGCTCTCCAACACTTTACCTCCCAATATATCGCAATAAGTAATGTGGGTACCTGAATCACAATATATTATTTCAATACCGTCTATTTGCCAAGACACAACCATATTCCCTACCGTTGTCATCACTTATATTCTGTTTTTGTGGTTGACACATGTCATCGGTTCCCAATTGCGCAGACTGATGCTCATGCTGTTGATCGCTGGATTGTCTGGTCCAGACTCACTTATTTACAGACCGCCGCCATGTGGCTGGAATATTGCTGAGTGCGGCGTAAAACAAAACTCACTCACTCACTCTTGTTTTTGTCCCTGTTGTCATATAATCTTTTATGTCATTTCCATATTTCCCCCTGCCTATTTCCGGACCGTTGTGAGTACCACATTTCCCCATTGTTGTCCTGTCAGTTTCATCATGGTTGTCACCTTGTCTTGCTCCCTTGCGCAGCCTTCTCCACGCGTCTGGGGTACGAGGAACACATCCCCGGACAGACACGTGACTGGAACGAGGAGATTCAGACCACCAGGGAACTGGCCAAGAAGAACCTGCCGGAGAGACTGATCCGTGAGAGAGCCATCTTCAAGGTGGGCACGCCTGTATTCTCACCTGTTGCCCTTTATTCATAGATTGGGTGATCACGTGTCCGCATACCTAGATAATGTGGATCCTTATACACAATATTGGTTGCTATATTGTCAGCTGTTTTCTTTTGCAGGTTCACAGCGACTTTGTTGCAGCTGCTACTCGGGGCGCGATGGCCGTCATCGATGGAAACGTCATGGCTATCAACCCAGGAGAAGAGGCCAAGTAAGACAGGATTCTTTCGCTGTAGATAGTTATACCTTGATTTCTCTGTAGATAGTTATACCTTGGTTTCTCTGTAGATAGTTATACCTTGATATCTCTGTAGATAGTTATACCTTGATATCTCTGTAGATAGTTATATCTTGATATCTCTGTAGATAGTTATACCTTGATTTCCCTGTAGATAGCTATACCTTGATATCTCTGTAGATAGTTATACCTTGATTTCTCTGTAGATAGCTATACCTTGATATCTCTGTAGATAGTTATACCTTGATTTCTCTGTAGATAGCTATACCTTGATATCTCTGTAGATAGTTATACCTTGATATCTCTGTAGATAGTTATACCTTGATATCTCTGTAGATAGTTATACATTGGTTTCTCTGTAGATAGTTATACCTTGATATCTCTGTAGATAGTTATATCTTGATATCTCTGTAGATAGTTATACATTGATTTCTCTGTAGATAGTTATGCCTTGATTTCTCTGTAGATAGTTATGCCTTGATATCTCTGTAGATAGTTATTCATTGATATCTCTGTAGATAGTTGTACCTTGATATCTCTGTAGATAGTTATACCTTGATATCTCTGTAGATAGTTATACCTTGATTTCTCGGTAGATAGTTATACCTTGATATCTCTGTAGATAGCTATACCTTGATATCTCTGTAGATACTTATACCTTGATTTCTCTGTAGATAGTTATACCTTGATTTCTCTGTAGATAGTTTCCCTTGATTTCTCTGTAGATAGTTATACCTTGATTTCTCTGTACATAGTTATACCTTGATTTCTCTGTAGATAGTTATACCTTGATTTCTCTGTACATAGTTATACCTTGATATCTCTGTAGATAGCTATACATTGGTTGTGTTTGGTTGCTGTATTGAACATTTTACATCCTCAAGGATTGACAGTTTATACTGCCACCTGGTATCACCGTTTCTCCACTTGCCCTCCTTTCCCCAAACCTACCCCCCTTTCCCCAACCTACCCCCCAACATCTGTCGCTGCATCCTTATGTCACTCTTTCCCACCGTCCCACTTCTTGTATAGATCCTTGCAGATATATATCTTTCTTTTTTTCCCAGGATGCAGATGTTTATCTGGAACAACATTTTCTTCAGCCTGGGGTTTGACGTGAAGGACCACTACAAGGACTTCGGCGGTGATGCTGCGGCCTATGCTGCACCTGTAAGTTAGAGTTGTCTCCCTTCGCTGTCCACCTTCTAGTAGTTGTAACGCTATACTTGCTATCAGTAATGCTGTTGGCGTTTCAAGTTCATATCAATGTCGTACTATCGATGGGTTGTACATAATGATATAATGCTATCCTCCAACTGTTACCAAGGCTGTAAACAGGTGCAAGTATCTGTATCCATGTAGATGGGGCAGTGGGGTAGCCTAATGGTTAAAGCGTTGGCTCGTCACGCCGAAGACCCGCGGGTTCGATTCCCCACATGGGCACAATGTGTGAAGCCCATTTCTGGTGTCCCCCGCCGTGATGTTGCTGGAATATTGCTAAAAGCGGCGTAAAACCAAACTCAGTCAGTCAGTATCCATGTATCTGCACGAAGACTGGGTGGCCTTATTGCATGGGGTGGGGATGGTGGTCTTGTGTGATGGAGTAGCCTAGTGGTTAAAGCGTTATAAACAAAGACCCACGTTTGATTCCCCCACATGGGTACAATGTGTGAAGCTCATTTCTGGTGTCCCCTGCTCCCGTCCCCCCGGAATATTGCTTAAATTGTGGTGTAAGACTACTATTCACTCACTCACTTTTCTTGCATGGAAGCATCGTTGTAAAATGTATCTTATAAGGTGAATGAATGTTGAATTCATGTCCAGTCAGTTGCTATGGTTACATCCGTGTGTATGTTTCAGGGCAGCGACCTGCAGGGGGTCAAGGCATACTTCGGTATCGACCCCGAGAATCTCTACACACTGGGCACCGTGGTGATTGACTACAAGGGCTACCGTGTCACAGCGCAGTCCATCATTCCTGGCATCCTGGAACGAGAACAGGAACAGTCCGTCGTGTACGGCTCAGTCGACTTTGGCAAAACTGTCGTCACAAATGAAAAATACAGGGAGCTGGTTAGTGTGAATTGTTTCATCTTCAGTATTCAACAAGAAATTATGACCTGTATCCATAAAAAGTGTTCCTCTTCATCATACCAACTTGTACATGCCACTTGAAGATGCTGTATCCAGCAGCGGTACTATAAGAGATATGTCCTCGTGCTTTAATTATAATAGTTCGGGGCAAAACTATACTTTATTACAAAACACATTGGGGTAGAGCGAACTTTATTTCCTAAACAGAACAGGGTGCCGATGTAGAAAACAACCTTAGCGATAAGACGACCTTAAGTCTATGTTAAGGTATGGGAGTTACGGTCACCTTAGCGCTAAGACTACCTTAAGTCTATGTTAAGATATGGGAGTTACGGTCACCTTAGCGCTAAGACTACCTTCAGTCTATGTTAAGGTATGGGAGTTACGGTCACCTTAGCACTAAGACTACCTTAAGTCTATGTTAAGGTATGGGAGTTACAGTCACCTTAGCGCTAAGACTGCCTTAAGTCTATGTTAAGGTATGGGAATTACGGTCACCTTAGCGTAAGACGGCCTTAAGTCTATGTTAAGGTATGGGAGTTACGGTCACCTTAACGCTAAGATCGCTTTGTACAGCGGCACCCGGCTCATTGCTCATACAGCCTTGCATTAGCCAACAAGAACAAAAACTCACATCCAGTTCATAAGGAGCGAACCATTCTGTGAGAAATTTGTATGTAGGTTTGTCTGTGATCTAAACCGTCACATATTGCAGCATGTTTTAAGCTTGGAAGCCATGTTATCGTTTAAACCCCCATGTTATACTGAAGATAGGTGAGGACCTGAGACTGTACTAAGGTGTGACTATCCAGTAAACCTTGTGAATTATAAAGATGATCTGTATTTCCTCTGAAGCAGTTCTACAACAGTAGAATACATTTTCTCCAAAGTAGGCAGAATGAATATTTTGAGGATACTTTTCTCAACAAGTGGCACACCAAGAAACTAAAATGTATGCTCCAGTGTTGCAGAAGTAATAGGATAGGATTATGAAGAGCGCACCAGCAGTTTCCCCTCTAACAATAGTGAATGAATACATTGTTTTCACTAACAGTAGTACTAACTAAATTAATCTCAATTTCAGCTTCAAAAGACAGCGAGTCAACTCAAAATCCGACCTCACAAGTAAGTTGCTGTATGGAAACTAGTTTTGACATTGAATGTTCAAACATTTGATAGTGTTGTATTGTCTAGCAGTTCAGATGTTTGAGTCAACAAGCTCACACTAAGAGGCAGTTCTAGAAAGTTTGATTAAAGTCTTCAAATGCCACATTGCATGTTAGCCATGTTTATCAGCCTATCAGATAAAAGCAACCCTATTATGACAGAAACAATGTGTCGGTTTTACACCTGGCACTGATGGCAACATCAAGATATGATCTGCTTGTGACTAAAGCATTGAAATCATGTTTAGAACTGGTCAACCTCTGCTTGTTATAAATGTATCAGGTAGTTAGACTTAAGTTACTGTCTAGAACGGATGTGCGGTTTCCATTCCTGGACGGTAAAGTTTACAAACCAACCGGCTAAATCAACACAATTGACTCACTTATCCGCATGAAGCTTTGATCTTCTGCTGACCGTGTGAAGTGAAGCGCGAGTGTCCCACGTGTCTTGACACGAGACAAGATCTGCTAATCTGGATTCATAACCAATCAGCAGGGTATTGGTGGTGATTAGTAGGCCTATCTGACACAGAGTGAATTGTAATTGGCAAATCAAAATGACCATGCTGTTTTGGAAGTGATTTTAAACCAGAAGTGTATGCTCGCTACCATTTCAACACCTAAACCTGGATGACAGAAATCCAGATATCTGGATATTCAGTTATCCGGACGATTTACGCAAAAAAGAATGTGTCCGGATATCCAGGGTCTCACTGCAGCTGGAATTTTGGGGTTAAACAACACAACTTTTTGAAAGAATCATCAGCTTAAGAGTATAGGTAGTCAAACGTTTTCTAGGTGTTTGTTTGTTTGGTGTGTTTGACCTTGAATCACAAATATTTCTCAGTTTAACACGAATTAAAAGCTGTCTTCTTCCACAGGGTGCTGAACAACAAAGATGAAGAAGTCGAGTTGTTTTCCTCCATAGAGTGCAAGGGCATTGTTGGTAACGATCAGCGCCACTACGTGCTGGATCTCCTACGAACCTTTCCACCCGATGCCAACTTTCTACCAGGTATTTACTACTTCCCCTCAAAGATTAAACTGTTTTGTTATTTAAAGGGGGAGACGATTCCTTAATATGACTTTATGGATAGAACTGCAGTAATGACAAGAGGCTGAGTGTTGTAACCCTTCATATTAATATTGTATGTCAACGTGAACAGTACAGACATCTAACCAAGTCAATGGTCAAAGGTCATGTTTAATTTGGTGTTGACAGTCAATGAGATGATTGTGTCTCTAGTTAAGGAATTGATGATGGTGGTGATGATGATGATGATTGTGTTTCTAGCTACGGAGGGAGATGAGCTGAGTAAAGAGATGAAAGAGCATGGCTACCCCCGAGATCATCGCCACAAGCTGGCCTGTCTGAGACAGGAGCTTATTGAGGCCTTCGTAGAGTGAGTAGATCCCACATGGTATGGCAGAATGGGACAAAACAAGTAGACTTGTCTCAGAGTAAATTGTGCCACAAGGGGATTTCCAAATTAAACCAAAAAGGTCTGCATGGAGAATACACAGTTGAAGCACAGTTAAGAATGTACAGTCAGACAAGACATGGGTCAGGTGCAGGAAGAGATAAAAAGCCAAATTGATAGGCATGCACTCATGAATGTCCAGAATTGTGTGTCTAAGTGTCTTGAAACAGGCCTGTCGCCATTCTTGAATCTGGAATAGTGTTAGAGTCTGGCAGGAATTTATATATTATTTGTTGAAAGTCCATAAACTTCATGGCTGAAATGTGGAACATTTTCTGGAAGTGATTGTTAGAAGTGTCTGGATTTTACAGATTCTAGTAGGCTGTACCAAAATTCAGATCCATTTTGAACCTGTGCTTGCTGTTATCTGCTTGACAGATGAGAAAATCCTGAATTCAAAATTGCAAATTGATGCTCTCATCATTGGGATTTTAATTTGATGGCTCATAATCTGTATGAACCCTGAGTAAACATGCTTAAAATATCAATCACTGGATTGTCTGGTCTTAGTTGCTGACAGACTGCTGGTAGATGACTAAAATTTTGCTGGGTGCAACTTGAACTAATGAAAACACAATCATGTCCTTTATTTATGTGTTTGCTGAAATGCAAGATCATCAGTTCATGTGTGTCGCGTTTTCAGAAACAGATACGTGGCATTTGTACGCCATGCAGCCTTCCAGTTTCAACAGCTACAGCTGCTCAAACAGAACAAGGTCAAGGACATGGACAATAAGGTTACGGACACAGACAATAAGGTCACGGACACAGACAATAAGGTCAAGGACGCTGACAACAAAGTGATTGAGAAGGAGGCAGAGAAGGAGGTAGAGAAAGCCGTGTTAGAGGTCAAGGTGAGATATCTGGCACCACTTCCTGCAGTGCACAATTATATAGGATTCAGTCACCACCCACAACTCAGAAATGTTCCATGGCCACGTTTACAGTGCAACTCTTACTGCTAACTCCCATGTCTTAACATTACCTACAGTACTGCAAAGATGGTTTTATTTGTCCGAAGAGATGAGTAGTGAAATGTTGTTATACCCTGATGCTGTTCATATCCACCACTAGTTTGTCTGATCCAGACATGATTGTTTAAATGGGTTGAGTCTAACTTCTGTGTAAAGTAAGAAAAGTAAGAAAGAAGTTCAAGCCTGTTGTGTACATTGTTCAGTCCCCAGAGAAGTTGGTAAATGGCAGCGCCGAAGACTCGGTGCAGACTGCACAAACCCAGCTGGAGAATGATATCGCCACGGAGGAAGCCAAGAAGATTGTTGAGACCCTCACAGGGACGGACAGTCAGACATGTGAGTTAGCATGGCTACTGGTTGTCAAGGTGATGGTATGCTTGTAGTCTGGAACTTACACCAGAAATCAGTGCCATCCCCTTTGCTGGTCCTTTGCATTTGTCTGAAATCAAGTCAGCTATTTGGCTTCAATATTGTTCGGATCGACTTAATTAAAAATGCGATCCGGATTAGAATTGACCTTCAGTAACCCATGCTGGTTGTAAGACGTGACTGACGGGATCGCTGGTCAGGCTCTGACTGGGTTGATGCATGTCATTGTATCCCAATTTCGTAGATTGATGCTCATGCTGTTGATCACTGGATTGTCTGACCCAGACTCAATTATTTACAGGCCAACGCCATATTGCTGAGTGGCATAAAACTAAACTCACTCACTCACTCATTGAAAATGCTGAAAAATGCAAATTCATGCCAGCAGACAGTTTGGCAAAGGTGAAGGTCAAACAAAATTAATCTTAAATGGTACAGCTGAAGCACAAGGACAAGCTTTGAGAGGCTCAGGTGTAATGTATGATACACTGTAACTGTTCTACGAGCCTCGAACTTCCAGCCTTCTCTTCTACAGTCGAGGAGAACACGAAGGATATTGTGAAGAAGGCGGGTAAAGCAGTGGGCTCTCTCAGTGACACCGAGTTCAACGTGACCTTCAACCCAGATGTATTCCAGCCTCATGTTCAGCATGCGGACCCAAAGGTAAGAGTTGTCTCCCCTGTCATCTTCACTATCAAAGCTGAAACATCCTGAGAATTCATCTATGTGTGTATTGATGAAAAGGGCTACCCTCACTGACACCAAAGAGCAAGGTGTGTCTGAGTGGGGTATTCATGCTTAACTGGGGAATGGTATCTCAGTGAGGTAGCACTATAAAACCAGATTAAGTCTTGGTTAAGTGCGACATTAAACCCAATTTCACCTCACCACACTTGATCCAGATATGATTCCCTCGAAACAGCCATGACACAACCAGTATTGCAAACTAATTATGCTACAATCAATCATTCATTCACAGAAATCACTTAATACAACATATCAGGCAACATGTTCAACAATGGGCTTTATGACTGGTGTAGTTTAGATGGAAGCATGTACCTTCGTAGCCCTCCGACATGTTCCGGGGCTAGTCCCCAGCAACCTGAGTGGTTATGTAGTGGACCGAGTGGCACAGACTATTATTTCCAGACACCCTTCATATAGCTGAAATATTGTTGAATGTACAATTAATCAAAAGTTGGAAGGTTTGTCCTGTGTGAACTCACGTTCACTTTCTCCTGTTGCAGAGCGAGACGTTGAAGAGAGAGAAGCAGTTAGTGAAGGACGCCGCCGAGTTCCTAGTTCTACACCAAATACCGACACTCGTGAGTAGCTGGCTAATCACCACTGTACCTAATACATCTGTGTAAAACATAAGACTGATATTTGTATCTCCTTTGTGTTTAAACATAACTCGACAATTTCTGTTTACCGACTAAAGCAAGACAGTATGCGTTTACCATACTGTATATTTTTGTCCTGTATACATAGAGAGAACCTTATAGAACCACCGGGCTGGTGGGGTAGCCGTGTTGTTAGAGTGTTAACTCATCATCATGAACACCCAGGTTTGATTCCCCACATGGGTACAGTGAGTGAACCCAATACACTCGCTAATAAAACAGTGGGACTCTACCCAACCCAACAAAAGTACTTGAATCTATACTTTACAGAGAAAGTGTAATCCCAAACATAACATGTGATACATTTGACCACTTTCTAACAGGCATTATGTATTGATAGCTTTCGGCCGCGGGAGCCGTGCCAATTAACACTTATCAGAGGGGTACACAAAGTCCGCGGTCTAGACTACCAGTTGTCCAACTTCCATTTTTGTGGAAGCCGCCTTGGCTGAGCGGGTTAGGCGGCTGACTTTGTGAGCTGGCGATTAGGTGCCTGACTCTGAGGGTGTGGGTTCGAATCCCGGATGGGACTCAACCCAAGAAAAGAATCTGTACTTTACTAAGAAAGTGTAATCCTAAACATA